ATGCGAATCCGAGGGCTGTTAACTTCCGCCACGTCGAGTTCGGGGTCATTTGAAGGTCAAATAGCGAAAAATTCATTAGATAAAACTGAAAATTCTTATATATGAGCCATTCTTTTTAAAGTCGGACGGATTTCGTAAAAAAAATATGTCATGTCTCCGATTCACTACAAATTTTGTTTGTCGGTTCTATACATTAAATAAGCTAACATGTGTTAGAGGAATTTTTTTTTTATTTTTTTTCTTCGGAGATATGATCTGTCAATGTTTGCATTTTTTCGTGATTCTGACTAATCATCCACTACTTCAAATCGTTATATTTCGGGTTCTGCGCATCGTGTAGACTTCATCTTAACGACGTTTTAAAGCTAAAGAAAGCTTAACACTTCTATATATAAGATGGTAAAGATTGTCCTAAAGCTAACTTAGCAGTTACCAGTTGAATTTTTTGAAGTGGATTTGCATAGTGAAGACCAGTAAATTAGGTATTTAAAATTATACCATTGTAAACCTTGCTTAATTATCTATAAAAAACGTGGCTCACGAAAATAGGAGTTTTTCAAGAACTATTTTTAAAATATTTTTCTTTTTGACGAGATGGTTAATTTTATGAGAATAAACAATTTTTTGTAATTTGTTTTCGAAAACTTATGTTGAGGTATATTTAGCAAGGTGTTAAACATCGGGTTTTTGCAAAAAGTAAAATTTTATTGCGGATTCCGATAGAATACCTATCCAGATATAATATTTGTATGGCAAGATTTTCCTTTAAGGCAACAAACTCCTAGAAATTGCGGATTTCGAAAGAATATCGCTTCGTTAACAATATTTTTTCCACAACTTTTTCAATCCACAAATCGAAATCTACAATAAAGTCTAAATTTTTGAACTTTGGTTTTGATATGGCCACGCCCATTTCTTGAATATGCTTTGATTGAAAAAGTTGTGGAACAAATGTTGTTAACGAAGCGATATTCTGCCGAAATCCGCAATTTGCGTTTAGTTAACTGTAGTCCTGGAGTTGCCACGCCAATTTCTAGGGGTTTGTCGCCTTACAGAAAAATTCTGCTATACCAAGATTATACCTGGATAGGTATTCTATCGGAATCTGCAATAAACTTTAAATTCTTGCAAACACCCGATGTTTAACACCTTGCTAAATATATCTTATCATAAGTTTTCGAAAAGAAATTACAAAAAATTGTTTACTCTCACAAGAAAAGGCATCTCGTCATAAAAAAAATTTTAAAAATAGTTCTTGAAAAACGACCAATTTTTTTAAACATTCTTATAATAGAGATTAAACAAGGAATACGATGGTATAATTTTAAATCCCTAATTTACTAGTTTTCACTATGGAAATCATCTTCAAAAATTTCAACTGTTAATAGCTAAGTTAGCTTTGGGAAAAACTTGACCACCTTATATAGAGAAATCTTAAGCCCGTTTCTTTAGCTTTAAAACAACGTTAAGATGAAGTCTCTATGATGCGCAAAACCCGAGATATAACGATTTTAAGTTGAACATGATTAGTCAGTCACGAAAAAATGCAAATTTTGATAGATCCAAACAAAAAAAGGAAAAAAAATCCTCGAACACGTGTAAGCTTATTTCATGTATAGAACCCATGAAAAAAATTTGAAGCCAATCGAAAGTGTGACACCAAATTTGGTGTCGGATTTACATTCAGCGCGTCGAATAACATAGGTATATAGAGTTTTCGTTCAATATGCCGAAACTTTTGTGTTTCTTGTAAGCCTGTGTAATTATTGAATGAATAAAATAAACTAGGTAATTAGTGGTGAAATGCATTTCGTGAATTCTGCCATTGTGTGCAATTTTTCTTTACTACGTAATGAATCTGGCGTTTGGTGTTTGCATGTATATACATATCGTCGTTTAAAGTACAAAATAGCGTATCGTCATTCTGCAAAACCGTGTAACTGACATTGGCTGCCAAAAATTGGATTTGCTCACACAAGCTCAAATTGGATTGGCTCAATCCTTATCCATTCGTCCTGAAATATATTAGCCAGAAATGCGATTGCTTTATGAAAATGATAACCATTTTGAAATATGAGTGTTTTTACGCTCTAGAAAATAATTTCTACAACTTCACATACGCGGTTTTGCATTTTGCCGATACGCGGTTTTGCATTTTGTTGATACGCGGTTTTGCACTTTAAACGACGATATGTAAATGCTGTGAATGGCGCTGTGTTCAATATCCGCCTTTCTATTACAGCGCCTTGTGTATGTATACGGCAATCATCATAGAAAAATATAGGTCGGCGGAATACATCTTATGTTTTTTTAAATTGAACCATCTTGATGATATTGCCCGACTGCTGAAATGGTAGAAATAACCTTATTTCCCATTCCCGCCCACTGGTGAAGGGGGCGTGGCTGGTCACCAACACACACTATTTCTAATGTTCCTGTATTTTTATGTAAAAGTTGATTTTGCACCAAATTTGTTTTATTTTGATGGATCGTTACTAGTCCATGCCACATTAGAATTCAGAATTCGGGTAGCTGGTGGGCGTGGAAGTCGACCGATTTTTACCATATCTCAGATTTAAGTCTTCCTTGGTTAATTAAAGTTACAAACCGAATTTCTTTAAAATCCGATAAAATTTACTATATCCGCCCCCGTGTGTAGTGGGCGTGGCAATTTGCCAATTTACACCAGTTTTCGTACTTTTTCTTTCCTTAGTGAAAGTTTTCAAACAGCGAATTTCAGCAGCTACGTTTGATACCTTTTCCTGCTACTTTTATAGGGAACTGCCAATGCTAAGCGTTCAGTCTATGGAAGATTAATGACACCGCACGGCGCCGCAAGGTATTTATACTCCCCAAAAAACATTAAAAATGCATAATGTCACAGAAATGTCCTTAACTCTGTAATGAAACAGTGCAGGAAATCGCAGTAGCAAACAAAATACGGCGTATAGTGACGATTGCTAAATAGAATTTGTAAAATATATAGATATTTAAAGAGTTATACATTTTTTTTACAACGATATGTCTACATTTTTTTCTTGCAAAAAAGCGGGACATTTTGCGTCTCGGTATGTTTCGTACCGGGACCGGGACATAGCTCTTAAATCCGGGACAGTCCCGCCGAAAATGGGACGGTTGGCAACCGTGATGTTACCTCATAACTTTGGCCCACGGGATCACGTCAACAGATTTCAATATTTTTTTATCGGAAAGGGTTGTCCCATATTAATTTGGTTTAGATGTTATGTTTAGAAATTATCGGTACTCCAAAATTTTTATATGAAAATTGAAGTCGGTTTGGCTGTTTGCTTAAAAATTACTTGTCATATATGTACATAATTATGAGTTTCAATGGAATCTATGCATGTTCATATGCCATATTTCGGTTATTTTAATTTCGGTTTCGAGCCGAAAGTATGGTTGAATTTATATATTGTACAGATGTTTGTAAACTATTTCTCAAAGGAATTCCGCGCGAAGATACTGTGGACAGAGGGTTGCTTGTTTGAAGCGAAGTGAATTGATCAATTTTGTTTGTTTTTTACTGTTCCATGTATGCATACGGTGACCATATTAACCAACGTAAAATAGAGGACATTTTTTCAAAATGATTTGGGAATACGTACATACAACTTGTATGATAAAAGTACCTTCCCCATATCGTAATTTAAATCAAATATTTACCTAATTAACTGGTACCGATTCCGGAAAATGAAGCCAACTCCTTTTCAAGGATTTCGCCATCCTTTGCTGCCAAAATGCGTTTACCATAATTCATACCGCACGCCGAAGCCAGCACACAACGGTTCAAAATTGGAATTTAATGTTCATAATTCACCGTAGTCTTCATTTTTCAACCAATTTTTACTAAAAACCAAAAAAAAAAAATAGTTTTGTTGAAATTTTTTTTATAACATTTCAAACATTTTTTTGTAATTTTTTCGCTTTGGGGAACCATACAATTGTTTTCAACTAGTCTTTGTTATGTAACATTTATTAACTGGAGCAGGAGAACACATTTTCTTCAAAAATGCCACTTTTTCTGCTTTTTGCTCTAAAAAATTTAATATAATCAAACAAAAATTCACAAATCAGGTTCAACTGGTCTCTTGCAAATATTATAAGCTTTCATAAAAAAAATGATCAAATTAAGTGAAAATATTAAGGCTAAATGCCAGTTTTGAAACACTGTGCAGCAGGGGGTTTACTGTTCTCTTTCAGTGGAACTAGAAACTCAGCGTGCAACACGATCCTGGGCATTCCCTGTGCTTTATAGATTGTGCAAAGATTACCTATTAAATAAAAACCCTTAAGTGAGGTGCGAATCGAACAGGCGAAGGTTTTCATTATATTTTATAAGGGACATTTTTATTTTTCATATTCTGTGTTTAAAAATTTACCTCTGAAAAATGCTGAGCTGATTTAAAGGACAGTTTACGAAATAAAGGACAAAAAACGTCCTGTATTTTGAAAAAAATTATAAAGGACGGAGAGTTAAAATAAAGGACTGTTCTTTAAAACATAGGACGGATGGTCACCGTATGTATGCACTATTTCGATTTTAGCTCGTGTGCATTAATTTGGTGTTCGACCGAATCTGTGCAAATATGCATTATTTCGGGTTATTCCATATGCACAGTTTCCTTATGCTCAATTTCAAGGTGGCATAAAAAAGTGTACCTCTTCATGAGATAATTCATTTTTTTCTAGATATTAATGCTTTGGAGTCGATGAATACACTCCCTGTCATAATTATAAGTGCATCAAATATTGATAAATTTTAGCGATTTATTTTTAGTTATATTTTTTATATAAATACAGTTTAATATTTAACAAAACTCGTATAAATCCAAGTTTCAAATATTTTGCAATATTAAAAAAAAAATTAAACAAACCTACTTAAAAGTTTCAAGCTTTTCAATTAGAAAGATTTAGAATTAGAAGGATTATAAGTATGCAGTTATGTAGCCCATTAATTTTAGTATAATGAAGTACTACACCATTTCCAACAGTATTTCAGAAAACCACAAATGTATTTCAGGAAAGGCCAAGTGTATTTCAGAAAACCTCAAATGTATTTCGGAAAAACACAAATGTATTTCAGAAAAACACAAATGTATTTCAGAAAAACGCAATTGTATTTCAGAAAAGGCCAAATGTATTTCATAAAAACGCAAATGTATTTCAGTAAAGGTCAAATGTATTTCAGAAAATTTCAAAAGTATTTCAGAAAAACTCAAATGTATTTCAGAAAAACACAAGTGTATTTCAGAAAAGGTCAAATGTATTTCAGAAAAATCCAAATGCATTTCAGAAAAGACCAACTGAAATTCAGGAAAACACAAATGTATTTCCGAAAAGCTCAAATGTAATTCAGAAAAACACAAATGTATTTCAGAAAAATATTTTTAAAATATTTTCAAACTAGGTAAACTTTTGCAATGGCAAACCTCCGAGTGTACATATATCTGCCTTGAAAAAGTTTGTCATAAAATGCATTCGCCGTTCGGAGGCGGGGTAAAACTATACGTCCCTCCCCTTTGTGTGACAACATCAAGGCGCACGCCACCAACTGGAGGAGAAGCTCGGCCAAATACTAAGCAAACTGTAAGCGCCATAATATTATATTATTATAAATCCATTTATAAATTAAACCTCTGCCCTTCCATCTATTCTTGCTACGAACAATTGAATAAACTAGTGATAAACTCGCATAATGCAACACTTGTAACGGCGAGATTTTATTTACACATATGTATAAGTATTTATGTAGATGTACATGTCGCGCAATGCCAAAGCATCTGTAAAAATAAAATTATAGTTTAAAAAACTAAAACCTCGCTATTGTGATTTCCATTCGTACTGTCATCAGGTATGAAACTTGAGAATAGAAATCACTGCATTTTTTAGGCGCATCAATATTACATAGTTACATCCCGAGCTAATAAAAGGGAGATAATAATAATAACAAAAATAGATGAGTGCTGAAAACCTCGAGCACAATCAGCAGTAGATATGGTTTCTTTCGATTTTACATAATTCTTTACCTTAGCCCAAACATTTTCTATGGGGTTCAGCTTGGGCGAGTATGGCCCCAGACGTAAAAGGGTGGGTGACCCATTACTACCCACCACTTGATCAAGTCCAGCATGGCATGGTGCATTGTCGCAGAGTAACACTAACTCGCTTAGTATGTTGCCCATGCTGGTCCATTTTTCAAAAAGTCCGCGGACCTACTCAGCGGCGCTCTCTTTTTTAAATGACCCGCGCCGCGTTTCCATGCTCAGTACACCGGATGTACTGATGGCTCCAATTAGGAGTACGCTGGGTGCCCTTGATGGTGGCAGCGTTAAAACCGCTCGTATGCCAGACCGAATACGACCTTTTGTGCAACGGCAAAACAAATTAAAATTGGTTTCGTCCAAATATACAATTTGTTTGCCGTGCTGTATATATCCGCTTAACGCTGTCACGAATTCTGCGCGTTTGTTTTTATTTACGGCGGAATTCATGTTGGTAGGCATATTATGAACGTTTTTAATCTAAATAATTAGCCGCGGAAGACTTGCAAATGTCTTTTTGCAACTCCGCTTGCACTTTTATGGCTATATTCTTCAGGGTTATGGTAGGATCCTCTTCCACCCAACGTATTAACGTGTCGACCTCGTCTTCAGACAACCTTTTTTCATTCCCTCCTCCTCTTCGTTTGCTTTCCACTCTGCCTGATCGCACCCAAGTGTACCGAATACCTTTTGCGTTCTACAATCTCGTTTTCTTTACCGGAGAAGATTAACATATACCTTGTTCATACCTACCCAAGAACCGCATTAACAAAAAACTGATTTGCCTCAACACATATTTCTTTCAAGCATTTATACCTTTGTCGTTATGGCGCACTCGCTGAAACCGTATTCAAAAGTAAACGAATTTTATTATTCTTATTCGATATTTCTTAAATTATTTATTTGCGCGGTGTAGCGAAATGGAAGCGAACAAGAATTCAAATTTGTTATAATAATAATTCAAATTTAAAACGGGCTGTATAAAGAAAACCAGCCTTTTTTCACTTCGCGTCAAATGAGTGATGTGTTTATACCAGTTTTTTAACCGATGTGAGAAATAAAAAAGCGATTTGAAAACAAATTCGAGTCAATACACTTTCGAATTTTTGATTGTATTGAAAGTTGGTTTATGCTTCCGTTTCGAATCACAACGAACTGGGTCAAAGCGCTTTATGTGTTGGTATAAACAAGGTAATATACACATTGTTGTAAAAATGTTTACATAGGGCGTGTGTGAATCGGTAACAAAGTTTTATGGGGAAAGCTGTTGAATAATATTTTTACTATGGTGAGACAGTTTTGCCAATCTGCTGTATGAAATGAAATATTTTTTGACAGCAGTAAATTTTTGATAACCGCAGATTTATTTGGAATAAAATATTACAAATTGAAGTGAAATGAATATTTTAAGAAAACATCTACCATCGTTGATTGCAATTCATCTATTTAAGCTTTTATTTAACGAAAAATTACACACATCAACAATCTTTGCGATTGTCAAAATTTTCAATGCATTTGTCAAAAATTTCACTAGCCTCATGAGCTACATAAATTTTATTCACCTCATAGTTGTCAACAATTTACTCGACGCGAACTTTGTTACCGATTCACACACGCTCATATTGAAACATATTTACGACATGATACAAAAAGAAGGTAGTTTCATTTCAAAATTTATGACAAAAAATAAGTTTTTTGAAATTTCATAAATTGTAAAAATTATGAGCTACCTTGCCACATTGATAGAAATGAAACAATATCAGAGGATTAAATGCAGTGCGTTTTAACTTCTTCAATAAGATTTTCATTTTTATTTTTACCGAACTGCCTTTTACTTACTCAGTTTTCTATAAACACACATTTAATAAAAAGAAAATACAGTACTTTTCATCTTGTGTGGATAAAACTTGTTAAAGATATATAGTTTCGGGCTTATGTGTATATACATACATATATATGTATATTTTTTAGTAGCGCCTCATCTTTACCCGAATATTCCGAGAATTCAGAAGTGGTACTGATCCTACAGTACTGTATTCTTAATAAAGAAAAATACTTTAGGTACGCTGCTTACAATTAAATTAAAAGATAAAGGTTCTTTAAAATGATCAGATGTTTTATTAAATATTAGATACTTAATAGCACATTAAGTTGTATTTTTTTTCAATTTCTTCTTTTCGTATATGATTTTTTTTCTTTAATTTTACGATTTAAAAATCTAATTCTGAAAAATGTTCTCCCCAAAAAAAATCGTTTAATAACCTTTCGATCCAAATTAAAATTCAAATTACTCATAATATTTTGCAAAAAATTTGGCTCAGTGTTTAAGGTCCCTCCGTTGAATTTTATAAAAACTCTATTTAAAGCTTCAAAAATATTTAAAATACTTGAATTTGGTTTATAAAGTCCCCCCTCTGATAAACAGTTTACATATAGATCTTGGTTTTCATGTGTTCTATGGCCAAATTCCGACAACCCATCTTAAATATTATGTACCCTGCAAAATTTTCAAGCCCATCAAATTCCACATCTCCGAGTGGCCTTATGTTCGACCTCATGCTCCTCTGAAAGCTTTTTAAAACGTTAAAAAAAACAACATTTAAAAGCTGCAGGGTAAACATTTTACCTCGACCTCCTCTTCCACGGATAACGGTATCTTATTTAGAGGTTTCAAAATATTTTGCGTCAGCAATTTCTCATCAAACTGGATTAGATCGTCGCTTGAGGCGTCAACATTTGCTTGCTCACATAAAATATTTTCGTTTCGTCCTAGAACAGACAAGCATATACGTAGTTTGGAATTAATAATTGATACTAACAACAACTTTTGAAAGAGTTCAGGAAAAAGTTACCTAGTAGGTATGATCTTAATCTATATTTAAATTCTAGTGGTGAAGGGTGATCATGTAGCCCTCCTTTTGCCCGTATCGCGCTCATGTAATAATTTTATTGAAGGTAGTTATGCAAAAGTGGTAGTGCGTTTTTTACTTGCAGGATTGCCCTTTGAAAAGGTACAAGTTTTCCACTTACACGGGGAGTGAACAAATTTTGCACTATATGGCTCATTTCCTCTAGCAAAAGTGATAGGCCATATGCTTTGCTCAGACCACGCGTATCTTTCCCTGTACTTGTTAAATTAAAAAAGTCGAACCAATCATTTATAATTTGGAATAAATCCGCGCATTTCACGAAGCTTTCGCAACGCTTGCCTAAACCAAGTTGGGCGCACCGCTTTAGAGCCGCAGCAGTAGTATGCGAAAAAAATTTAGTGGCGTACTTTACTTTTTGTCGCGCTGTTAAATAAAAAACATACGGAAATAAACTTTCAGCATATAACACTACCATGGTTTTTATGATGTTATCTATTTTCGTCTTCTGTTATGTAGTTTTTTTACTGTGAAAGTTGAAAATTTGGCAACAATTTTCATAATTAATCTTATTTACTTGCGGCCTTCTAACTGGAAGTAATCCAGGAAAACGTGGGCCATTATTGAGTTTACAAGACTCCAATAAAGTACAATCAACTATCAAAACATTTTCCCACAAAAAATTCAAAATCCGAGCACAGTGTAATCAATCAAGAAACAAAATATATAATATTGTAACCAAACCCATTATGTTTTATACCAGCGCCTTTCACATTTAACATTTCCATTGTTAGCTTCTTTATAATAGATAAATCGGCGTCGCATAGAGAAATAAGTTCGGCGATGGTTTCTTTTGTCAGGTAAGTCGTATTAAAAAGGAAGCCATCATCAGCAAAGTGATTTTGAAGTAATTTAGTTAAATGCGGCACATCAGCGAAAACGAAAATTAGCTTGGTCTCATCAGAAGGATGATTGAAAAAAGGTTTCTGCGTAGTAACTTGCATCAACCTCCATACTTTTTGGTTATCAGGACCCAAATCACAGACGGCTGCTACTACGGTATGCCCAATCGCATACAACTC